CTTTTTAAATTAAAAAATATTTATATTTGTATTTTTTAATCATTTTTTAATTTATTATCTTATGTCTTCTTTTGAAAGAATTTTTTAAATAATATTTTATATTTAAACAGTGTTGACACTGATAATTTTATCAGTGATGTTTCAATAACTTCGCAACTGGAAAGAAGGAAATCATCTCTTTTATTAACAAATAAAACAGTCGATTGGAATGAAACTGTAGAAAGATTCGCGGTTGCAATTACGCAACTACATCATAGTAGATTTTCCAATTATAAATGGTCTAATCTCAAAAGTTTATTCGAGTCATGTAATGTACGTTTATTTACTATTTTTTTTTTTTTTAATGCAATACATTTCATTCCCTTCTTTATCTATCATAGTAATTTTTTTTTTTCGAATTACAGATTTGTTATGATAGAATAAAAAAACAAGGATGTAGCATACTTCTACACGATGGAGAAATTCGAAGTCTTGCTCAGATGGTCGCTGTTAGCCCTGCTATGAGCAATACGTTGAAAATGATACATAAATGTTTGGAAAAATTGCATACAACTCTGTTAATGAAAACGAAACAGAAGCCAGAAACAAATTTACAAATCCTTAGTGACTACTTTTTGAAACTTTCACTCAGCTATAGTGATTACATTACCGATAAATGTCTACAAAATTTTTAAATTATTACGAATTATCCATCAATATATATTACTACTTTTTATTGATAATATAGAATATAACAAAATTTTGGCTTTGAATATTTATTTTGTAATTCATTCAATTCATTAATTTTTAATTTCTTTATTATTTATATCACATCTTTATTATTTATATTATCATAATAATTTATTCATACAGTGATTAATATGATTATTAATCTCTTTATAATAATTAAAAGTATTCATTACTTCATATTTAACATACATATATAAACAGACAGACTATAGATTTATGAATCAATAAATGTTGCTAAATTCTCACATATGAATCGTGAAACAATAAATTAGCTTGAAATAATATATTTCATCAAATTTTAACAAAGATTAATGCATTTTTTATCATTATTTTCTCACAATTTAGTGATAAACGATGATTCAGTATTATTATTGGTTCATAAGGATAAAAAATTGCCTGTTTATGTTAACTTCATTATTGGTGGACTATCAGGGTAAAATGTTCAATATTTTTTATATTTCATATCTTTTTGTTCAAACTTGAAGATTTAAATTTAATTTTTTATTGTAAAATTTTAATAAGAATCTTTAAATTTAAATTAAATAAAATATATTAGAACAATATGTTCCTTTTCTAATTCATAATTAATAATAAAATATAAAATATAAATAAAATATAACAAATATAAAAAATTCTTTCCATTTAAAAATTAATGTAAAATTTTTTAAAATGAAAAGTTTTCTATATTTATCTTAATTTTTTTAATTCTTAACACTGGCCTTTTATTTTCGCTCGTCATGCAGTATCGTGTCACAAACTTCAGTCTATCCTATGGATTTAACTAAGTTACGTATGCAAATTACACGTTTATCTTTGAAAGAGACAATAACACACACTTTAAAGGAAGTTGGAATTCGGGGATTTTATGTTGGTTGGACTGCAGCTATTCTTCGACAATTAACATATAGCACTGCAAGACTTGGTTGCTATACTACATTATATGATCTCGCCCAGTAAATATATTATATCTAATTTAATTAATTAATTCCATATTAATCCTTAATCAATTAATTTGATTTTTTAAACAATATTTTTTCTCATATTTTTTATATATTAATCATATATAATATATATTTATATCAATCATTCATTATATATATATATAAATATTATAAGATTACAAATTAATTAAAGAAAAATAAAATTTAAAATTTAGAAGTTATTTTGGTCGTTTAAATTATGCTACAATGCTCGGTATTGGAATGGTGTCGGGTACTGTTGGTGCATTTGTTGGAACGCCATCCGATTTGATTTTAGTTCGTATGGTAGGTGATCTACAATTACCTCCTGGTGAGTATTTTTCTTAAATTGACTAATAAGTTTCATCCTTCTTTTCTAAAGAATATATGAAAATTTTATTTGTGCAAATTATCTGTGTGAATAAATTATAATAATAATTATTATAAGTAACATAAATAAAATTTCAATTAAAGAGAGTTGAGAAGAAAATTAAAAAAAATTTTTTAAATCTTATATGAAATAATTTATATTCAATTTAATATTATAAGATGAATAATTTATAGAATTTTCAAAACATTAATATTTTTCTAAATTAATATTAATCTACATTAATATTTTTCTCATATTTTTGAATAGATATAATTCTATTTATTAGAATAAAAAAGAAGAGAAAAAAAGAATTTTCAATCATGTATTGCTATAGAAAATACTTGTTTTTCATGATATACTATTTTAATATTTTTTTTTTACAAACTTTTGTACCTCGATATTCTATTGAATATAATAACAAAAAAAGAATAAGATATTAAAATAACACAAAATAAATAAATAAGAATTTTTTGACGAAGTTTGATCTTCCTTTTTTTTTTTTTTGATTAAGAAATATTGGAAAAACATAAATTAAAGAATGAATTTTTAGAGAAACGACGGAATTACAGAAATGCTTTCACTGGATTAATTACTATTTATAAAACGGAGGGTATTGGTAGATTATGGAGAGGAGCTGTACCAACGATGACTAGAGGGGCACTTGTGAATGGAACTCAATTGGGCACCTACAGTAGAGCGAAAGTATCATTACTAGATACTGGTATATGAATTATTAATAGCTTATCAATCTTAGAAAAATATCTTATCAATTGAATAGATTTGTAAAATAATTATTTTATTATTTTTCTAATTAGTCTTTGAAAACTAACTTTTTTAAGTTTTAACTTAAAAACTTAAAAAATTTTTAAAAATTGAAAATTAAATATAATAATTAAATAAATTAATATAATTATATAATTATTTTTGTTGTAATTTTTATTTCTTTTATCTATAAAAAATGATTTATTAATTTTTAATGAATAATTATAAAAAGCTTAAATTAGAATTAATTTTCATAATTCGTACAATTATAAAAAAACAAAATTAATTTTACATATATATATAAAATTACGTATAATATTAATAACTATAGGTTTCTTTGAAGAAGGTTTATTATTGTCATTTATCGCATCAATGATCTCTGGAACAGTGATGTGTTTAGCATCACTTCCTGTGGATGTAGTTAAAACTAAGTAATTCTTAGAACTTTAATTATTATATTTTTATTATTGATAAAAAATATTCTTATTTTTTATTCGTATTACAGAATACAAAATTGGACTTTACCTACGAAACCACCAAGCTTACCTCGGATGTTAGTCATAACAATGAAAGAGGAAGGAATATTTGCACTTTACCGTGGATGGTTTCCATATTATATTAGATCAGCTCCTTATGCCGTGATTACTATGATATGCCTTGAACAGTTTAAATACGCATATAATATGTTCTTTGTAAAAGATTAGATTTAGAATTTTATTTTGATGAATAATATCGTAAAGAAGATTATGAATAACGCGTGCTAAAAAAAAAGATTTTATTCTATTATTTTTCCATTTAATTATATGTTTCGTTGTTTACAATCTAAATAGAATAATACTTTGACAATAATTAATAGAATAATTTAATGTAATAATGAATATAGGATTCTTTGATTTTGTAATTTTGTAGAAATATATTAATATCATAATTTTGTTTATAACACTAAATATAATATTACAATATGATTTATTGCCAATAAACTATAATCTTAAAATGAAATATTAATGTATATCTTTAATAGTTTACTTAATGTATAAAAATTATGATAATAATAGTAAAATATTAGATAAATATTCTATTCTAATATAAAGTGATAAATTAATAGTAAATAAGTGTGTAAATTAATAAATCAAAATTATTTTTCAATTTAAAAGTTTTCTGTTTTTTTATGTAAGCATAAATAAGAACACAAATATATAATTCAATTAAATTTTTTTTATCAAAAAATTAACATACATATATATATGTTATATATATATATATATATATATATATACGTAACAAATATTGATAGTTATCTACATAAAATACCATCTATATAAATTTGCTATTTGTTCATTAATTATAAATGTTAAAACAGTATGTGGACCTATTTTGCAGTAGGTAGGCCAAAAACCTTTCCAAAGTGCAAAAAAACCTTCAGTCTTCGTTATCGTTATCAACATTGTTATCAAACCAGGTGGTTTTGCTACACCTTTTAAAGTTTGTATTCTGAAAATATAACATAAATGATATACATTTACAATATTTTTATTTTTTTAATATATAACATTATCATGCTAAATTTCTTTAATTACTTTTAAATTTTATTTTTTTTTTTTTAATTAACTTTAATTAAACATGCAATTATAATATTTCGTAATCAAAAGAGATACAATAAGAGATGCAAATAATGCAAATATATGCAAATCATCAATTATAATAATTATAATAAATAAATTTTATATAAAAAAATTTCTTGCTATCGAATTAAAATTATGTAGAAAAATTTTATTCTTTTATATCTATTAATTATAATGTTTATATTATGTTTTCCTGTAATTATCATTATTTCACAATAAAAAATTATTATTATACAAGATTACAACTGTTTATTCGAATTTAAGAAGTTAATAGCTGATTAATACTGTAATTAATCACGAAAAGTAATATTTAAAAAATATAAATATTAATTTCAAGTCATATTACAAAGAGTTATTAACGTAATTCATAAATATGAAAATCAACATTATTTTACCTTGTTTTAGCTATATCAAATGGCATAGAATTGAAGGTAGTAAGGAATCCAGACAACATTGATGCAAAAAAATGTAATTCAACACTTTCTGGGATATTCACTGTATAAAAAATATATATACTATTTCTATTAATATTAATTCATTTATATATGATATATTTGATATATATTCTTTTAGAAAAAATAATAATATATGTAATAAATGAGAAAATTAAGAAATTCATAATAACTTTTTGTCGCTATTAAAAATTTTGCTTGACTGTATGTTGCAAGCTGAGAGATATTAACAATCACTGCTCGACCCATTGTTGCTACACTTCCTCTCCAAAGAGTGGTAATTCCTTCTTCCTTAGCTATCCTCGCGAATGCGTTAAATACATTTTTGTAATTTCTTCTCTGTTCTATAAAAAAAGAATAAATACAATTTAACAAATTAAACAATTCACTGAATTGAATAAAATTAATTAGTTTGTATGCTTTTTTTGTTAAAAAATGTTAAAAAAATATAAATAATTTATTGAATGAATGAACATATTACTTATCTCAATCTCTTAAAAGTATTTATCATTGAAAGGGTTAGTTATCAAGGAATTACTAGATAATTACAATAATTACTAGATATATGATTTATCTTTATTTCAAAGTTATTTAGCATGAAAAAGATTTAATGATGATGATTAAGAAAATATTGAAGATGGAAAAAAAAATTTCGGAAAGGAAAATTTAAAAAGAAAATATAGATATTTAATTATATGAAATAATTCCAATATGTAATAAAAATGATGTATAATTAAATAATTTAAATAACCTTTTGGCAATCTACCATCAGCGGTCATTCTTACGAGAACAACTTCTGCTGGTGTACCAATAAAGGCTCCCGAAGCTCCAGCCGTAGCTGCCATTAGAGCTAATGTACCAAAATTGGGTTTCGTTACGTACTTCGTCCTATTATAAAGTTTAAATCGATAAATCTTTAAAATATTATGTAAATTTCAAAATAATATAAAATTGCTCGATAAAAAAATTACTCAATATATTCATAGAAAGATGATTTAATTTTAAAATAAATATTTACTCACTTCCAATATTCTTGTAGTTGATTATAAATACCAAGTCTTACAGTGGTGTACGTTGCTTGTCGTAAGAGACCAGCGCTAAGGCCTGAATAAAACTTCAAAATTGACTCTTCTTTGTATATGGAAGCAATTACATTAAAAAGCGAAGTCTTTTCCTTTTGTACTTGGATCCGGGTTTTTATTACATCCATGGGATGAACTACACAGGTTGCTGCCATACTATAATTTTTCATTTCATGTATTGTATTATACGATTTATATTAAACAAATAATAAAATCTCTTAAAATGTAAATAATTAAATAATTAAATTCACATTTTATACATACCTTAATAAATTTATACATACTATAGATATATGTTTATTTTTTTTTTATTTATATTTAACTATATATATATTTATAATACTTAACTTAGGAAACATTAAAAAATAATAAAGTATCTAAGATTATGATAATTTACCCCGAAACACCAGCATTTATAAAAGTAAATACTGGAGGTAGTCGCTCTTTTTTCTTTTCTGACATTTTCAATATTTTTCAAATTTTTGAATAAATGTATATAAATAATATAAGTAATAATTCTTCGATAAAAAATATATCGTTAATATTCTTTGTAATAATATCTATAAAATTGTCATGTAAAAGTTGCAAAAATATAGATCATAATAATTAAAAACACATATGAACACAAACAGTATACAACAGTATTGCATATTAACCTAACAATAAAATGACATGTATGGTAAAATATTATAAATGTGGTTCATAACCACTTGTATACATTCATATAATAATAAAATTAAAAGATTGAACATATGTACATAACATTTATAAAATTTCTCTATATAGACTTTCTATCTTGATTGATAGATGATTTTTTAGATAATATAAAATATAAAATTGAATAAAAAGATAGTAAGGATATTTTTATAAAATTTCTGAACTTTGTAAAAATATTTTATAAAAAAAATTTTTCACGTTTTATGAATCGAAGAAGATAATTTATCTTCATCATCTTCCATTTTAAAATCACTAATTTTTACGTGTTATTTATTTTTAATTCAAAAAGTTGGTAATAATATAATTTTATTTTATTCAGATTCAGTGTGAATTTTTTGATATTTAAAGATTTTAATTAAGTAAAATAAAATTTAAGTAAAATGTATGAAAAATAATTAAATTATTTCTTTATTTTAAATAATATTTTATTACCTATCTAATACTTATTGTAACATTTTATTTTTGAATTTGATTTCATCTTTGAAAATCTGTTAAAATTAAGATATACACTTTTTTTAACTTCTTTACAATTTTTAAATATTTAAAATTAATAAATAATTAAAATATTTAAAAAATTTAAAAATAAAAATTGCTTAAGATTATACATACATAATATTTTAAAAATATTTTAAAAATAGTTTATTATTGATTGAAATGAAATTTAAAAAATTACTCAAATTACTCAAATTTAAAAAATACTCAAATGAATGTAATTAAAATACAATTTATCACGACTTAAATTTTTTTAAATTTTTACTTCTATAAATCTCTCTCTCTCTCTATATATATATATATAGTGTTTTCAAAAAACTATTTGCTTTTACATTTCACTTTTTCACACATACGAAGTAAATATTATTTTACTAAATTTTTCAATTAATAGGGATAAAATTAAACATTAAAATTCTTCTGTTACATATAACAGATTTTTTCCTCGGGAACAAATTTTGCACTTCTACGAGTTTTCCGTTTCCTTTTAGGTTTCGTGACGATTGTTTCTTCTTTTTTCTTCGGTGATAATAAGCCCATTTCTTCTTTGCATTTCTATAATTTGAAATTTAAATTTCAATATAAATTTCAAGATTAAACTTTTTGCTATATAATTATTACACGATATTAGAATAAATTAAAACAATATACCTTCACGGCCTTAAGAATTGGATAAAGCGGTCTCACTCCTTTAGACTCGTTTATAACTTCTTCCGCGTAATCGAGAATCTTTTTATTCTCTATATCGATAATCTTTTTCACAATTGGAGTTTCATCTTCGTCAAGTCTCGCTTGCCTTCTTTCTTCTTCTTTCTCGCTCTAACAGAGGAAACGAAAATTGTTTCTAAATTCTGATTAATAAAATAATTCTAACTCTCTTAACATTTTTCGTACTTACAATATATTTTTTTATCTCTTTTCCATATTCTACTTTTTTATTCCAATTTTTCTTTTGCTCCTCGATTTCCACTTCCCTATCGTATTCATTAGTTTTATATCTTTGCATCATTTCCCACATCTTCATATCTTCATCTTCTTGAAGTTGCTTCAACTTTGTATTCAGACGCTCCGTTTGAAAATCTTTTATCTCCTTTAACATTTTTTCACGATTTTCTTTTCGTATCCTTTGATTCTCCTGATAATTTGCCTCCTGCTCTTCTTGAGCTTTTTTTAAAAGTTGTTCCTCGTTAACTAATTTTTCATTCAAAATGGCACGATATTTATCGTCTGTTTTAAAAAAAATAATTAATCATTAAATACATAACTGAAATTTTTGTTTCGATTATCATTTATTTATTAAAGAAAAATGTAGATTTTAATAAAAATCAATTTACATATCTGTTGGGCGTGCTGCTCTTTCTCCTCCTTTTTTTTAATTTTAATGATTTATGAAGCTTTTGAATTCGCAATTGAGCATTTCGATAGATCTCAATTGCTCGATCCTCAAATTCGTCTTCGTATTTAAGCTCGAGATCGAATTGTTTCTTGTCCTCTATAGCTTCTTTGAAAAATTGTTTTAATTTCTCCTTTTTGTTTTGCAGCTATAAAATATATTTATTTTATTATTAATCTATAAGAAATAATAATAATAAAAAAAAAATAAATAATACATGTACAAATATTAAATTTTTCTCTTCTAACTTGTTGTGCTTCGTATTCCTTTATATCTTGCAAAAATTTGTTCATATTTATTTGATCTTGTTTCTCAAGTTCGAATCTTTTTTTTTTCTTTGTTTCCTCGGTATTTTTAATTTCTTCTATTCTGTTAAAAATTAACGAATAATTATTGAAATGTATATATATATACGTATATAATAAATAGATATTGTGTGTGAAAAAATTTACTGTTTCTTCAACTCGGTAGCATAATTTATTTTTTTCTTCTTCTGCTTTTCCATCTTTTCTTTCGTTTCTTCTTCGTATTTTGCTATGTCTTCTTTCAACTTATTCACATAGGCATTTTCCTCATCTTTATCTATTTTTTTAAGAGTTTCTCGAAATTTTATTTGAGCATCCAATTCTCTAAAGCACTATTGAAATTACAATAAACACAATCCCAAATCTAATCTATTATGTATTAATTTCAAGAAATTAAAAAAAGAAAGAAACTAAATGGAAATTGAAATATTTTTTATCTAAATTTAATTCAAAATCACGATATCTCTATATTTCTTTATTTAATATTCACGTATTAATTAATTATTATTTTTATATCATTATTATATCATGACATTTGTAATAATTTGTTTTTAAATACCTCAGAAATCAGAAGACCTTGATTAATTTGTCTGCACATCGGTTTTTTGTAAAGAATGAATCTTTTTGCTTCTTTTATTATTTCTTCCCTTTCCGCTGCTTTTTTCTCAGCAGCTTCCTTTACGAATCTCTCTCTTTCTTCTTTTTCTTTCTGTTCTCTCGCCAATCGTTCCTCTATTCTTTTCTTCTTAAAGATCTGTTGCGAAATAAAGCTCTTATCTTACTATTATATTTACGAATAAACTATTTAAACATTGTTCAAAACAGTCTTAATAATTTTCCAATATATTATTATTATTATTATTATTATTATATGATAAATCGGAAACAAAATATTTAATATATATTGTAAGGAATTTTTATAAACATTTAGTCACTTCTATTTTTTTTTTGTATTTCTAATAATTATACCGAAATAAGTAAGTGTTGAAAATTTGTATTATAAATAATTGCAAATAAAAATAATTATAGCGTCTCTTCTTAAAATTATTTTAGAACGTTTTTAAAGATCGCAATTCAAATTAAAAAAAAAACATTTTTTTGGAATAATTTGATTCTCAATCGATATTAAAAACGTAATATATTTTATAGGAATAATGCGCAAATTGAATTACGAAAGAAAAATTTGAAAAATTAAAAAGATACAGAGTTTAAAGTAAAAGTTAAAAAATGCGAAACATACTTCTTTGGTAGATGTTATAACACTTTCTTTTTCTTTCACTTTTTCTTCAGTGTCTAATTTTTTTTCATCCTTTTCCACTTCTTCTTTAATAGTTAATTTTTTTTCTACCTTATTCTCTTCCCTTTCCGGTCCTTCTTTAACATCTAATTTTTTTCTTCCTTATCCTCTTCCTTTTCCAATTCTTCTTTAACATCTAATTTTTTTTCTTCCTCATTATCCTCTTCCTTTTTCAATTCTTTATCAGGATTCGATGATTTCTTCTCATTCTCATTCTCTTCCTTCTTCTTTTCTTTTACAACATTTAATTTTATATAATCCTTCTTCTTGGAAATGTACGATGGATTCGCACGAAATGAGCGTTGCAAATGTTTTGGAGTTATTGCTTCTACACCATTTTTTGATATCTGATAAAGAGATTTTTATTATAAGAATTATTTATATAATTTTATAAATAATAGAAATCGCTAAAATTAAAAAATAATAACTTACTTTAACACTTTTCATTGGTTTTACATTTTGGCGATATAGGCAAGTGGTAGGTTTCACATTTTCAATTATTTGATTTTGTACCATAATTATAATTTCTTTAATACGGTATAAATGTTATTGTTGTATGTAATGATACAATGTAATAATAAAATAATAAATTGATAAAATTAATATAAATTATTATTATAAGTGACAAGGTTTCTTTCGTTACTGATATTGCGGATAACTTTAAACAGCGCAATCGTTGTCTTGGAAACCAAATTAAAATCAATCGATAAGATTTAACACTATTACAATTTTCATAAAGATCATATAAAAGATCATTTACTGTTATTATAAAATACGTTTCTTTCGTTAAAAATATTTAAGTGTTTTAAATTTACAAAATAGGCATTCAATTGCTTA